AACCTTAAATTCCAGGAATAAAAATAGTATATCAAACATTTTCGTTGCCAACACTTCTGTAGTAGGCCCAAATTTTTGAGACTGCTTTTCAATAGTTTTATTCATCTGCTCCTCTGGCAGTTTTCTGCAAAATATCTTATTGTATCTCGATGTTATTATGAAGGAAAATTATTTTTGGGAGCATAAAGGGGCGGTACTGCAACTGAATAGCCAATTTGTCCTCGTTGTCATAACTCCTGTCTTCTTTTTGTAGAAGAAAAAAATAGTCGTGTACCGGACGCCATTTATGAGAAAAAAATACAAACTGCCGCAAATTACCATCGGCACTAACAACATCCCTAGAACAACAATTAGATCATTTTCAACAGCAAATGGATCAACGTAAGCAGCAATTCGAAACACAAGTTGATCCAATCCGAAAAGAACTCAAAAAAGTTCGACGTCAACGCCGACTGGACGTGAAAGAAATAAAAGAAGACAAAAAGAAGACTTCGCAAAGACACAGGTAAAGATCATGAGAGGGAGCGTTACTTTTTCTTTTCTCTCCTGTGAAAAAATTGCTTTTGATAGAATACATTTTATTATTTAAAAGCGAATGAATGTTATTGGGAAAGGAAGAACACGATATGAATGTATCTCAAACCTTTCTCTTTTATGTATAAAGATCAACACAAAGCACGCCTTCTACAGTTCAAAGTCTGACAGAATAAGCACTAAATCCGACTTGCTTGTTTGATTAAACTATCCTATCGAAAAGAAAGTTTATCCGATTTTAATTAATGTTTAGGCGATCGATCTTTTACCACCGTTCTGTGTTTATTTACCAGTTGTATTTGTATAATTCAATAATTTTCTGGATCAAATCTGTTTTTGCTTTAATATAAAACAATTAATAAAACTATTAATGAACTAACTAATCTTTTCTCAACTTTTCCGAACTATTCATCAAAATCAGGCCTCTAGATGAGATCAATAAACTGAGAATAAAGAACATCAATAAACTTTTCAAAACAAAGTTCGGAAGCTGGTCACTTTCAGGCCAAAAAGAGATTTTTAATTTCGAAATGTTGATCGTATGCATTGCACTGTGCTTCTTTTAAAACTATGCTAGTTTTGGAATCGAACTTAAGAGAGAACGCACGACCCGATCGACCATTAGCCTATAAGACGAAACCATCAAAGAAATCAACATATACTTTTTATGTTTTCATTGCGTTCTACGATTGAAGCTGAGTAGTTACGAAAAATGTTTTAGCCTCTCAGATCTCACATTGACAGATATAAAACTTTTAGAATAAGCTACTTCGATGCTCTGGAAAACAGGGTCGGCTTCAGTACTTTTACGTTGTTGAAATTATATGACGATGGACAGTTTTCAACAACGTCTCATTCGACAGAGAATATTACACTGCATCGAACGATGTATTTGCTGATAACAATGTCTTGTAAAGAATTTTAAACATTAAAATTTCAAAACTTTTTGTAGTTTTTATACCTTGAAATTGTAAAGTAAAGACTCTGTAAAGAAAATCGACGGTACTTTTGGATTCTACTCAAAAGCATTCTTTTTCATACCAGCGAGTTTACGGGCATAAAACGTTTGAATTTTGCACTTTAAATAGAAATAATTTTACCCATAGATGAAATATATTTGTAATTTATCGATTTGGTCCAACCTATAACTTGGCTACATTGTATTTTATAAACCTGAAATTTTTTTGCAAGTAGGTGGTGGATGTGGCTCTGCTAAGTGCAAAAGAATATCTAGCTTCCTGTTGAAAGTACGTCGCCTATGTAAAAGTTCCGGTGTACTGTAACTGTTTGGCACTTTCCAACGTCCAAAATGCAAGCTGTAAAATAAATGGTTTTTTGAAAATTTTTCAGGATGCGCTCTATCTGAATATGCAATCAGAAGAATGGGTATGTTTGAAACTTCGCCGCAAAGTAATGAGAACGAAAACACGACAAAATTCTACATCGTTTTTTATTTATTGAATCTTTCACTAGTCCTTTCCATGTTTGTAGACACATTTACACAAGCGTTCATAGTAAACAACAAAGGAATTATATACAAAATAAATTTTAGTTCCGTCTGGTAAGCAAAATGGTTGACGGATATTTTGTTGCTAAATCCCTATTTCTGACCAACTTGGGGGTCAACAGCCTTGAAAGCTCTAATACGTAAGTAACTTATTATACTTTTGAAAATTGATTGATAGTGGAAAATTTCATTAAAATCAGTTTAATAAAGACAAGTTATATAGCAAACAAAGGACATGTGTGCTTTTTCAATTTTATGTTTTACTATTTTCAGCAGTCTTCATTAGTATTTTTCTCGGCTTCCTTCCAATTTTGATGTACTGTAGGTGGCGTTAATACGTAAAAGGTAAGAAAATTTTCGTACCTTTTAAGTGTTCTCAATTTCCTTGAACCTTTAGGGTAACAAGAGTTCAGGACATGATGTTTACTTTTGTATTGTTTACTTTTGACTTAAAATGTCAAAAAAGGTTAGGGAAAGCCCTCACGAGATATACTATAGAAGATTATCGAATATGCTGCCGCTTAGTATCAATCAGTGACAACAATACTGATACACCTACACTGGCAATAAACAAGTTCTAATTTCAATTCTTTTCAATTTTTGTACTTGAAATGAGTTTAAACCGTTATTCTGGGTTTGTGTGAAGTGCTTAGGCCTTTCCATGCTGTTTGACAGTATAAATAATTCTTCCAAAATTTACCTCTAAGACCGTAAACGACCTTTTTCTAGCCTAGCGGTGGTTTCTGAATTTTAATATCTTATTTTAAGATCAGCAGAGAATCCATTCGAGAGGCCGCTAATTTATGTAACTTTTTCTGATGTTCGCTAGTGACTCTCAGCATTTAGTGATCGCTTTAGATCATCATTTACTGATCTCAAACCAACAAGAAAGACTTGAAATCATCATTAGACCCCGAGATTTTCACTTTCGATCTGAGAAACTCGTTTTTGAAGAATTATTTGTACCATGAAAGATCATTAAAATGACTAAATACTTAGACGAAATTATAAATCCCACAACTAAATCAATTCATGGCCAAATCCAGAACACCAGCATACGAATTTAATAAGTAAATAATATTTTATTCTTTTCGTACGACATTACAAAGCAGTTCTTGATATCTATGAGGCCCAGAATTATAGTATCAGATAAATAAAAGCTTCGTTAAAACCAGACGATTAGTGGATCTATTTTTACCAGGTTCTGATCTCCAGCAAAAAACGAAAAGCGATCCAGTTCTAATAAGTTAGAAGTTTTCGGCTGTTCCAGCATAACTTCATGCGAGTGACTGAACAAACACGCGTGATAATACTCGTTCTTTGTTTTACTTTTATGAACGATAAATTTGCTTTATCAGTAAATTCCCCCTTTATTCTGCAGTATCCTGGAAGATAACAATATTTTATTTCCTCAATTCCAATCCTGTTTACATTTTCAACTTCTGATCACTTCAAAAGGAATAAAAAATAATAATAATTATAGTTTGTATATTTCATAATAGATTGTGTTCATGATGATACGAGATGAGTATGTGGTAGAATAAAGGTGGTTTAAATGGTTTTCACTCACACAGTTGATCTATTTATACACTGCTATACATTTGCCTAGATTCTTTTTCTTTTTCTGTCGGTATTCCACTTTCTTAGTGTTACTTTCCTTCTATTGAAAGTCATGAATATCTTACAGTTCAGCTTAGAATTCAGTCCAATTCCGAATTAGTGTAGTCCAACTTAGGATTCCAAGATGGACTAGAGATCATGCAGTTAACTTGGAATCTGATCGAATGAGGTTGAAAACACCATATTTGAGTTCAGTCACTTATTACAAATCATACTCTTAGTTTCACCTGGACGTTTATGAGTTATTTAGCTCCTAATAAGAAATGCTACAAGGACAAAGCAGATGTGAAGACGTTACTTATCCACTCCACTGCGTAAAAGTGACATGCTTATCGAAGTGATAGTGATTTTTTTTGTGACGTTGTTTCCAGTGCTTCATTATTGGTTGATATTGCACCAGATGATCCTATAGCTACCACCATTCTCGCTTAATCATTTCATCCAATAATAACGTCACTGGGAACAACTCCTTTTTCTGTTTTATGCATAAAAAATGTGCACTAACAACATGCAAATATTCTGTCTATATTATGAAATAATCACGCATAGTAAATAGAATGTGTAAAATCAAAATTGTTTCAAGAGTTGAATCACAAGGACAGTTCGCGAAATCGTTTGTTCAAAAGCTCAGTTTATCATCTTATTTCCATAATTCTGCTTACAAACACTATATACACTGTATTGATGATTCTCTTACTATTCTCCTATGTTATTATACTGACCGCGTTTAGATTGCTATTTTGTTGTAATCGGCCGAGATTAGAGGAACTAGGTCATGCAATATCGTAGAATTCATTCGATATAACACCTCCTTTTTGAAGTCTGTGAAGTAAATACATCAACACAGCTCCGATCAGGCTTTTGTTTACTAAATTGTTGCCTAGAATTCATATGCGGATAGTTTTTTCAACTGACTTTCATGTTTTGAATGAAGCAGTTTCAAACCAATTGATTCAATAGAACAAATAGTCAGTCTAAAATTCGACTCTGACAATGAATGTTTTAATAGATCACAGGAGTAACTATGTTGCTTCTTGGTCTGATATAGTCGTTTGTATTTGTAATTAGCCTCTCCTTGTAATAAGGGACGTTGACTATCACGGTAAACTTTACTCCGATCTAAGATAAATGTACGTTCGCGGTTTTGTACCAAAAAAACTTGGTATTACATTTTTATATGCGCATATAATTGTATATATAAAATACGGTTGTATTTTCGGACGTCTCTCTTTTCGTTGTGCGTTATTACGCAAGAATTAAAAAGAAGAAGTAGTAGTTTTTCATTCTTGTACACTTAGTTGTGTTTTATGTTTTGAAAATGATCGTATTATGATCAAAATATCAATAAAAAGGCTAATTCCATCTTCGAAAATTTGGAAATTAAACTTAAAATTATAACTCGGGTCCAGTATGATTTTGTTTCATGATTATTCGAACAACCTTGTCAAAAAGAAATTGTTTCATTGAGAAACTCATTTGAGAAGAATTGTTTAAGAACTTGAGCACTTGTGTAGCATCGACTGAAATGTTTTCTGCTTTCTCGTTTAGTAGACTGAGCATCCATTGTGAGATATCAAACAACAGTTTATCCACTTTTTCGGGGACTAAGTTTGAATCAAAATGGTTGACTATTAAGGCTACTATAAGTGGCATTGCAGTCAGGCAAGCATCGCCA